CCGTGAACATACTTTATATACAGAGTTATAAAAATTGTGCTATGAATGGATAATTATGAATATAATGTATTCCACTATTGTCATATATGAAATAATTAAAAAAAAAAAGCAGAAGAGATGTCAAAAATAGCTCCCCCCCCAAAAAAAAATAGCTCCCCAAGTAATGGATAAGAGCAATGTTCCCACCAATGAGCCACCCCACAAGAATGAGACTCGCTTGTACAGATTTTGAGACAGTTGATATAAATTCCTTTGAAATAACAAAGTTAATTACTAGGTTATCTCCTAAGGAGATATTACATAGTTTTAAATTCTGTTGAGTCCTTCTACCCTTTGTAAAATAAAATTAAATTGCAATGTTTTAGCTATTGAACAAATTCAATAAAATGTAAAAGATATAACATTCGATCCTAATTTTCCAGCTAGCACTCAAAGTCACTCCTACACATGACTAATGACAAGAACCAGGGCCTACTTAACCCCTAAAACAATACAAGACTTAGCCACTGGGGGTTTTGTTGAAGGATGTGTTCCAGGACTCTGTTTAGGGTCTTGGTGTTCCTGAGTTCTTCCAGCATGCCTGGAGCAGGTGGCCCTGAATGGCTGGCACTTCCACCAGGAGTCCCACTGGGTGGTCCTAAGAGGCTGGAAAACCTACCTGAGAAGCCATAGAGAGGAACAGACCACGGGCCCTCTAGTGTCCTTGTTGGTGGCAACAGTAGAGGGACCCCACCTGGGTGCTCAAAGGGAGAGCTCTCATCCAGTGGCCCTAGTATCTTCCCAAGAGAACCAGGAGGACTAGGAGAAGGCAGAAAGCCTCTGGTTCTACTCCCTGGGACATGAGGACCTGCACCTTACTTTTTTGCCCACCCAGGACAGAGGCATAAGCTATCCTTACTGCTGTTCCATCAGCTGCCTCATCCAGCTGTTTATCCGATGCACAGCATGTGCTCCTCCAGCTCTTCCATTCCTTCCAGAGCTTTCTCAGCTTTCTAGAAGCCTGTAGACAGGCCAGCCCAGCAGGCCACCTGCTAATCTGAGCAATGACATAGTCTCAGTGGCAATGCAGCTAGAGGACATGACCTGGCTGAAATATATCTCAGCAGTACATGGTTAAGAAAAGCAAAATGTAAAGAACCAATTAAACTCCCGCGAGTTTATTTCTTCCTTGCTCTAGCACTTGCTGGGCCTCTGCATCTCCCTGGCCACTGCTGGCTCTCGGGGACGGATGCTGCCCTGTGCCGGCTGGTGGGAGGCAGACCTTTCAGGCCACGGCGCCTAATCCACTGGCTCCTGCAGACTCTGGCAAGTGAAGGTGAGAGGCTTCCTGTCCCAGTAGCTGGCCCTGTGCCCATCCAGCAGGTCTCCCTGAGCAGTGCCTTCGAGGCACGCGTACTTGAAAGCCTTGTTGTCCGACAGGCCTTTCCCTGCTAGTGTGGTCTGGAGAAGTTCTCGGATTCTTTGGTTTTCCTTGGAGGCAGACTTCCAAATAATCTCAAGCTCACCTTCCATTTCTCTGAGAAAAATACACAGATCAAAGAGGAATTTTAAAATAGCACAAGTTGAATATATTCACAGAGGCTTACGGACCTACAGTAGAAGGAACTCAAATGAAAGCAAGTTGAACATCAGAGAAGAGCACCCACTGCGCTTCAGGGCCAGGGCAAAGGCTCAGGGCTCAGTGAAGCACCAGGCCCCCTGGAAACAGGGGAAAATAAAAACCAACCAAACAAACAAACAAAACGCAAAGGCACAGGCTTCAAAGGGATTTTCTTATTTTTCTCCTCTAAGCTTTGCCTTTTTCTTGACTTTAGCTTCAAGGCACATATCCTCTGCTTCCTAAAGAGTTAACGTGAGCAATAAAATAGTAAAACAGCGCACGCAGTGGCTGACCTAAGCTGGTCAGTTGCCACAGTGCAGGGCCTGGCTGTGGGTTCCCACAGGGTGAGCCACGTAGGCCTCCTTGTGACCCCTCCTCTGCCTGTCCCCACTTTGGCCGGGCCAACACTCAGGGACTTTCACAGGAGGCAGCCATCCATAAAGCTGCTGATGGGCCCAGACACAGAGAGGTAGGATAAGGAGGGAACTGGAAGAGTGGGTCACATAACTGAGGACACAGAGACTGGGCTGGACCACACGCAGGAGGCTGAGTGCTCAGAGGAACCAAGACTTGTGGAAAACAAGGGGCAGCAAGACAAGGATCTGGGCAAGCTGCCATGAGGGGTGTCGGGAGATGGGGCAGAGGTATCCATGTGCCCACAGGGCAGACCTGCCACCGTGGCACAGGGGGAAAAGAGCGGGCCTTTGCCTGGTGGGAGCAGGGGGCATGGAGCAGGCCTTGCCCAGAGTGCAGGGCTGGAGAGGCCAGGTGCCAGACTCAGCAGCACTGCGCACAGAGCAAGGCACTGGGATTGAGGGAGGAGAGCGACACGCTGACCTGTCCAGAGTCGCTTCCCCGTATGAGCCATTGCTGCCCTCAAGCCCCATGCGGCTGGGAGTTCTGCAGAATTGATTAAACTATATCTAAAGAAATCCTAAGACTTCTATTTCCTCTCACAAATCACCCGTATATTCGATAGACTAGAGCAGTCATGTTTAAATGTCTGGCTGAACCCGAGAGAGAGAGAGAAGAGGAACTTTCTTCAGGGGAAAAAAGATGACTAAATTAAAATCAAGAGGAAGGCATCAAAATGTCACCATTGTTTTGAGAATAAAAGCTGATGCCCAAAACCCACATTTTTGTGGAAGGAAGAGGAGGTCTTGGGCCCATGGAAACTGAACACGACAGAAAGTCCCAGGACTTGTTCATCTCTCTCCTCACAAGTTTTTCTTCCTCAAAATACTTCCTAGGCAGGTCATGGAAGTACGGGAAGGACCCTCAAGGAAAGAAGGCTGGGTGGAAGATCTTCACATCTTCAAAACAACCTGCTCTGAAAGGCTGACTCCCCTGGGGGGCCCACAGCCGCTGGCCTCTTCTCAAATGGACCTGGAGTTAGAGTTTACACTATTCCTTGTGATCAGGTATCTCCAGGCCCTGACTGGAATGAATCAAGGCTGCCACGATGTTTTTGGGATAATAAGGAGAAAAATTCAATCGGGTGGATTAAATAATAAATTAGATATGGCTGAAGAGAGAATTAGTAAAAAGGATATTGAGCAGAAGAAACTATCCAGAATGCAGTTCAGAAAAAAACATATAAACATTATTTCATAATATATTATAAAAATATTATTAAATGTAATAATGGAATTGAGGATATATAATATATATATGTGTGTGTGTGTGTGTGTGTGTGTGTGTGTGTGTATTCCTTTTGGATTTAAAAAAATTTACTATAGCCTATTTTAAAAATGAATAATAAAATAGTTCCAGGTTGGAAATATTCTCTGGAGTGAAAGAGAAGCAAAGGTCAATCTTCTCTGGAGAAAAACATCTTCAATCTAGACCCTCAGGATTTCACAGATTAAATTTAATCAAATATAAGTTCATAGTAAAAAAAATTACTGTAGACAGAAGAAAATAAATGATCCAGTAGTCTCTTTCTCTCTCTATATATATACATATATATAACCAGAGCAAATCAGTGTGTCGAAGTAATATCTACACTCTCATATTTATTGCAGCACTATTCACAACAGACAAGCCAGGGAATCAACCTAAATATATATCAACAGATAAATGGATAAAGAAAATGTGGAACATATACAACGGAATATTATTCATTAAAAATGAAATCTTATGGGGCTGGGGTTGTGGCTCAGTGGTAGAGCACTTGCCTAGCACATGCGGGACCCTGGGTTCAATCCTCAGAGGCACCATATATAAATCAATAAAATAAAGGTATTGTGTCCAACTACATCTAAAAAAATAAATATTTTTTAAAAATGAAATCCTATCATTTGAGAGAATATGGATGAATTTAGAAAACATAATGCTAAGTGAAATAAGCTGGACATAGAAAGACAAATACCACATGATCTCACTCACATATGAAATCTAAAAAATTTAAACTTATAGAAATAGAGCAGAATGAGGGGTACCAAAGGTCGGAGAAGGGAGGGGTCAAGAGAAAATGCTCAAGTGAGTACAAAGTCACAATTAGATAGGAGTAAGTTCACCTCCACAAAACGTCTCCAGTGTTTTTTGATGTGTATGACTTTTTAGACAGGGGCCTCACTATGCTGCTCAGGCTGTCCCAAACTCCTGCCTTGGCCTAGCTGGGACTACGGGCACATGCCACTGCAGTGGGCTTCTCGGCTATTTCAGATCCACTGACAATATTTCCTCTATCCTATGTTTGAGGGATAAAAGTGTGGGTAGTGTGATACCCTCCAACCAAAGAGAACGAATTTCACTCGTAATCTTATGATCAGGATGTAACAAAAAGGGAATGACCAGAGACTTTAAGGTTCTCAGAAAATTTTTTAAAATCACAAAAGAAATAAAACAAATTAAATCTCTGAAGAAAGTGAAATAAAACAAAAATATCAAAGAGATGGAAAAGAGGAGGAAAAGGGAAAGGCAGCTAGAGGACTAGGCTTGAAGTCCAAGTCAACAGGGATTTTTAAAAGAGAATAAAGAAATGAAGAGCAAATAGAAATGAAGGCCAATGTTAAATCCAGATTAAACTGAAATGTAAAAACAAAACAGGCCTAGGGTTTTTTTCCCAGAAAATTCTATGAAACACACACACACACACACACACACACACACTCTTTCTATGAGTCGCTGGGACCTGGGGCTGGGAGGCCCCACCTTCTCTGCTGCAGGGCTTCATCCAGGACCTCCTGCTTGTCCTGCAGCATCTGGTGGAGCTGCTGCATCTTCCACTGGTACTGGGCTTTCTTGCCGGCAAAGTGCTCTTGCTGCTCCAGCAGTTGGTGATTGATGTCCCCCAGTTTCAGTGCTGCCTGCTTCTTATACGCCTGGCGGGGAGGAGGGACTCAGTGAGCCAGAGGACACTGCCCGGGCTGCGTTCCTACCTACTCCCTACACTCCTGGAGCCCCTAGGTTGAGCTCTAGAGGAGGCTGATCTGGGAGGGCAAGTCTGCATCCTCAAAGTGAAAAAAGTGGTAAAAGAATTTCAAGTAAACGTAAACCAAATTTCTAGTGTATATTATGCCCTGGTTTTTTAATATGCAACAATTAAAATTAAATACTAAGTACTGGCATCACAGAATAAATTGGCTGTTATTGCAAATTAAACTTCTTTATTTTTTCCAGAACAACTTTCATCCCTTGTTCAACTGGTAATATAAGAATTAATGTCATGGCTGGGCTTGTGGTGCACCTGTAGTTCCAGCTCCTGGGGAAGCTGAGCCCAGGAGATCCAAGGCCAGTCTGGGCAATGAAGTGAAGCTTCAATCATAAAAATATAATAAAGTTAAATTAAACTAAAGAAAGAAAGAGCTAATGTTGACACTGTCAGTATTATTAAGGAAAACCCATATATGAGCCTAATAAGGCCTGTCATTCTCTATTGTCAAACAAATGACAGTTAAAAGCCCGATTCATTTATTTTCCCTCTTTCAATTGCATCGTATTGTATTTTATTTTATTTTTTTTTAATATTTATTTTTTCTTTTTAATTTTTTTTCTTTTTTTATTGTTGGTCGTTCAAAACATTACATATTGCTTGATACAATATTTATTTTTTAGTTCTCGGCAGACACAACATCTTTGTTTGTATGTGGTGCTGAGGATCGAACCCGGGCCACACTCATGCCTGGCGAGCGCGCTACTGCTTGAGCCACATCCCCAGCCCCATCGTATTGTATTTTAGATCTTCACATGCTCTCTGAGCATTTTTAAAACTATTGTCACAGGAACTCTGACACACAGTTCACATAGACTCAACATTTTAAACAAATTCTAATATTCTAATATTTATATACAGTTTAGTGCCTAATTTTTAATACTTCTAATGAAAGAAATTCTGATTTTATTAATGTCAAGTTTTCATATTTGTGATAAAAAATGTCTGTTATTTCTGCTTTAGGGATTAATGAGGCTTTCTTTGTAGAGAAGCTAAGATCAATTTTCACAACTGTTATTTATATATACATAAATATATCTTATTGATCATGTTGTTAAACCTTCTATGTCCTATTTATTTATTTTTAATCTTTTGACCAGTCTTAGACCAAGAGAAGTAGATAAAGCTCTTATTACTATTTTAATTTATTATTTCCTAGAGTTTACACTTTATAGATTTGCTGCTGTGTTATTTAGCGTATAGTTATTCACAACGACAACATTATTAATTGTCATCTTTAGCATCTTATTTACTATTTTTCATTTTTTAATTATTTAGTATTTTTTATTATTATTCATTCTGTGCTTTTGGCCTGAATTACATCTTGGCAGATGTAAAGAGTCAATGGCTGGGCTAGGGTAGCCCTCCGAGCCTCATGGAGCTTCTTCTCTGTCTCCCTCAATCCAAAGGACTTCTATTTGCAAAGCCAAGTGACCTAGATCGTGTCATGGCCCTTAACTTCCAAGGTGAGGCCCTCACTTTTAGATGTAATGTTTTGCTGGGGTTTCCCCAGAGTCTACCCTGCTTAAGCTGGATCCTGCTCATGGTTTCTTCTCTGGGTGAGTTCTATTTATACAAGCCAGCTAATGTCGAGTTTTTCTTAGCTTGGGAATGTTCCAACATATTAAGTGCCATCATCTATTTCTCCATGACCAGGCCTTCTTAAAATCATTGTCCTACAAGTATATGCACTTGAGTCTAAAGTCAAAGACCTAATTTCCTAGGCTTGGAGCTACACAACCTCACAGCACCTTCCCCTTCAAATTTCCAGGTCCCCTGCTCTCCTCCCTCTAGCCTCTAGCCTACTGGTCCTCTTCCTGGTCCTGCCCAACAGAAGCCAGGTTGTCTGGTGATGCTGTGCGGCAGGCAGGGAGGCTAGCAGTCAGAACACAGCCAGCAAGGATGGGAGCAGGGGTCCAGGGAGGGGTGGTCCAAGGCAGGAGCAAGGTACAATGAGGATGGCTTTCTTTGAGCAGAGAAACTGGAGGGCGCAATCAGATTAAGGCAAGAGAGGAGCAGGCCAATGCTGCTCTTTAACTGGACCAACTAAAGCTGGGGTTGATGATAATGCTGGCTGGCAATCTAACAATAGAGCCTGGAGAGTTTTCCATCTTTTTTTTTTTTTTTAAACAAACCACTACATAAAAATTTTTTTGTAGAGGAACCAAAGATGATAATTATTATTATGTTTTTTAGGGTACTAGGGATTGAATTAGGAGGCACTCAACCACTGAGTCACATCCCCAGCCCTATTTTGTATTTTATTTAGAGACAGGGTCTCACTGAGTTGCTTAACACCTCAATTTTGCTGAGGCTGGCTTTGAACTTGTGACACTTCCTATCTCAGCCTCCCTGCCATTAGGATTACAGTTGTGTACCACCATCTCTGGCTCCAAAGATTATTTAATAACTAGAGGGGTACTATTTCTGCAAGCAAAACCTTATATTGCTTTACTCTGTGAATGATCAGACACACACATGCAAAATGAGTCATTTTCTTAAACACAGAAATCTACATGTAAGCCCCATTCCCCACGGAATCTCTGCAGTTAAAGGACCACTTACCTTGATTTTTTCCTCTAACTTTCCCAAGCGAATATTGCCTTTTATGATTGTATTCAGGACTCCGTGTTTTTCACTTTCTAAGCATTTAGTCTAAGGAGAATGTGAAGACAAAACTAAATGAGTTCTCAGTTTTACAGAAAAATTAAAATAATAAAAGATTTTTGGGCTAAGGATGTAGCTCAGTGGTAAAGTGCTTGCCTAAGATGCATGAGGCCCTGGGTTCCACCTCAAGCACTGGAAAAAATAAATTATTTTGCAAACACTGCACTACTCCCAAGCAATCTCCGTTTTGTGTTCTCCTATACACTCCCTGCCCTTGCCTCCATCTCCAGCTTCCCACACTACTTGGGTGAGGACTGTGAGCAGAACTCAAGACACAGGTTGAGGAGGGGAAGAGCAGGGACCAGCATGTGGGATGCTTCTCATGGGCAAGAATAGAAGACCTAGGCCCCCCAGACGAGGGGGAAGGGTCATAGGGGCGTCCAGAATGTATCTCTATCCTTGTGGAATATATAATGCCTTCAATCAGGTCAAAGGAATAAGTACTAAGATGTAAAGTTGTAATGTGACTAATTTGATTTATTGTAACAAAATTAAGGATAATCATATGAATACACAATGCTGTTCTCCAAACCAAACATGACAAACAGTACATCCAAGAGGGATGTCATTTGAAGCTTAGTGATTTAGATTAATATCCAAATGGAAAATGAACTATCATATACTATTAACAATTTAATGGGCTGGGGTTGTGTCTCAGCGGTAGAGCACTTGCAGGGCACTGGGTTCAATCCTCAGCACTACATAAAACTAAAAATAATGGTATTGTGTCCAACTACAACTAAAAAACAAAATATTTTTTTTAAAAAGGAAACAATTTCAGTTGCTAAAATTAAAGAAAAAAAGTAAAGGTTAGCATTCCTTCTAGCCTAGTGATGACACAGTTTAATATTCCAGGGGGGGAAAAAAAAGACAGACACAGAAAGCTAAACAATTTCACCCAATAAAAAATTAAGATGTCAGAACCTAAGGCCAGCGATCTCCCACAGAAACTTGATAAATGAAAGATAGTGAAATTACTTGGGGAATTTTAAAGTTATTTGGTGATCAGTGGACAATTTCAAAAGCAGAGTGGAAGCCTCCCCCTGCCTGAATGTGTATGGAGGGTCAGAGTGGGGTCTCTCACAAAGCCCAGGAAACGAGGGCGGGATAGGATGGAAGAACATGGTTGAGACCCTGGACAGGACAGAAGCCAGAAGCATCACCCCTGGGCCTGGGCTAGAGGAATGGTGCCTCCAGGAGAAAGAAGCCCGCAGCCCAAGAGACACATACCACCTGGGCCTGGTTATGCAGAACCCTGAGTATCCTGCCCAGATGTCCTGGCACCTCTCTCACACCTCCCTATGTGGACAACAGCGTCTTGGTGTACAACGAGGTCCCTGGTGATAGGTGGAAAGTCCAGGGACCTACATCCTATATTCCAGGAATCTGTGGTTCTGAAGGGTCTAAGGATTCTAAACTTGAACCTGCCTCAGGCTTTTATAAAGAT